CCGGCGCTACGCTTTGGGGGTTTAGGGTTTAGGGTTTAGGGTTTAGGGTTTAGGGGTTTAGGGTTTAGGGTTTAGGGATTTAGGGTTTAGGGTTTAGGGTTTAGGGCTTAGGGAAAGGAACCCCATAACTCCACGTCTAACTACCCATGAACCTCCTAGTAGTCTAGGTGGTAGACATGAGCGTCAACCCTAAAGCCCTAAACCCTAAACCCTAAACCCTAAACCCTAAACCCTAAAGCCCTAGAGCATCCTGACGCCCTACCCATTAAGCTCTAAGACCCTACGATTAAGGTTTAGGCTTGAGGCTTGAGGCTTTAGGGTTTGGGGTTTAGGCGATTGGTTTTAGGGTTTAGGGTTTAGGGTTCAGATTACTGATGCAAAACTATCATTTTTCATATTTTATGATTGTTACGAGTATTACTATTGTCTGTGGTTTTATTAGTATGATTGCTAGTATATTACGAATATTGGCATTCTTGCTATCATTTCAATTTTTCTGGTTACTCTTCTTCTTATCTTGTCATTATCATGATTTATACAGATGATGATGACCACTATGACTATCAAGGCCGAGCACGTAGAGGGTGGAGTTTGGAGTTTAGGATGTAAGCCCCTTTACCCTCAACTTGTAGCTTTCAGGATTTCGATGTTGGGGTGTTTGGGGTTAAAAACTTCCGGTTTTGAGTGGCGAATCCGGCTTTGCAAGCGAGTCTACGAAGAGATCCGAAGCTACGTGCTCGTCATCTTCATAACGCCTGGACTCCCACATGGGCTTAGGATTTTGGGTTTTATGGCTGGGGCAAGAGAGTGTAGGATTCCGGTTTGAGGGTGCCTAATGACAAGAAGAGCAGACAAGTACGGTAAAAAAAAGCAGCAGCAGCAGCAGCAACAACAACAACAACAGCACCAACCACAACAGTAATGGTGATAGTGGTATGATAGTGATAGTTGTCATTACAGTGGTGAACTTAGCTTTCACTATAGTGCACAAGGAATGGCAGCGAGCATAGTAGTAGTAATAGTTATAGTATTGGTAAGAACAGCTCTGATAAGAAGACTTGTAATACTAATTTTGAGGAACTGCAAGAATATGAACAATACCACGAACAACAATACATGATGCGATTCGAATTGCGCAAACAGCGAAAACAAGTATAATGATTGGGACAAAAAGAACGCGACTAGCAATACTAATTGTTCTAGCAGCAGTTATGGTTCTAACAAGGCTGTTATCAACATTATCATTGGCATTCTTCTTATTATTCTAATTACTTTTTGTGATGATTATGATCAGAACATCGTTATAACTATCCCTGAACCCTAAACCCTAAACCCTAGACCTTAAACCCGAACAGCAAAGGCTTCGGGCTCAGCCCTGAGCTTCGCCGTGGGACTTCGGCCTGGGCTGAGGGACATGCGGAGACGCGGCAGGAACTCATCGGGTGTCAGGTTTAGGGCGTTAGGGCGTTAGGGCTTTAGGGCTTTAGGGTCTGGGGTTGAGGGTTTAGGGTTTAGGGTATAGGGTTTAGGGTTTAGGGCTTAGGGTTTAGGGTTTAGGGTTATAGGCTTTATGGTATAGGGTTTGAGCGGTTTAGGGCTTTAGGGCTTTTCAGGGCTCCGCGTCAAGCCCTCAGCGAAGACTTTAGGGTTTGGGGTTTACCGTATAGGGTTTGGGGTTTGGGATTTAGGCGTTTGGGGTTTAGGGTTTGAGGTTTTAGGGTTTGAGGGTTTGAAAAGGGGGGTTAGGGTCTTCATATTTTGCTTTGGGGGTTTCCTCTGGGCCTGAAACCCTAAACCCTAAACCCTAAACCCGGTACTTAAGGGTTGCTAGAGGTCCTTCTGGCCTTCCTCTGAGTTTTGTAGGAGCCTTGCAAAGTCTTATGGGTAGTTTCAGTCACCGGACGACATAAGGCGGCTACTTCTGGGGCCTTGGTAATCAGAACAGGGTTTGGGGTATATTATACTACAGTTATCATAAGGAACCCCCAAAATCCTATTCTGATTAGTAAGGCCCCTACATTATGTTTGGAGCTATGAATGCCCTAGCTGGCGCTGTCATCATCGTCATTACCATCTTCGTCGCCACCATCATCATCAGCAGCATCAGCATCTGCAGCAGCATCAGCGGGAGCTTTGGTGGCATCAGTGTCAGTGGCATCACTTTTGTAGCATCATCTTCTTCAACGTCATCGCCGTGCTTAGAACATTCTCAGGTGTGGTGCTTCCATTCCAAGTATAAGAGAAGCAAACCCCTAGACCCTAAACCCTAAACCCCTAAACCCTAAACCCCAAACCCCAAATTCCTAAACCCCTAAACCCTAAACCCAAGATCGTAGGCACCTTGAGAACAAAGACCTAAACTCCAAACTCTAGACCTCACGGTCCCAAGTTTAGACCCTTTAAGCCACAAACGCTTTGGGTTTAGGGTTTAGGGTTTAGGGTTTAGGGGTTTAGGGGTTTAGGGTTTAGGGTTTAGGGTTTAGGGTTTAGGGTTTAGGGTTAAACCCTAAACTTGAACCGATATTCAAAGCTTCAATCCCTTTAAAGGGCTTCAGGCCCGAGACCCCAAGCCCTCTAAGAAGCCCTAGGCCCTAAACCCTTAATCCCAAACGCTGAACCCAATCCCGCAGCCTTGAAGAATCATAAGCCCTAAAAGCTTTAATTCAGGGGCCTTAATGATTACCACAGGGTTTTGGGGGCTCCTTATTCTAACTATAGTATAAAATACCCCCAGGCCTTTTTAATTAGTAAGGCCCCTATATTAAGCCCTAAATCTTCATCCTTACGCCCTAATCCCTAAACCTTAAATCATAGACCCTAAAAGCCCTATGCTGCATGCCCTAAACCCCTCATCCCTGAAGACGAAACCTTCACTCATAAGCCCTCAAAGCCCTAAGCCCTAAACCTTCATCCTAGACCCTAAACCCTAAACCCTAAACCCTAAACCTTCATCCTAGGTGATCGCCTCTCGCGACTTTACGGGCAGACCCCGTGAGCCCCACGCAGCGCAGGTTTTGCAGGTCCTCCACGAGGACCCAAAAGGCTTCTATAGGAGGTTTAGGGTTTAGGGTTTAGGGTTTAGGGTTTAGGGTTTAGGGTTTAGGAGGTTTAGGGTTTAGGGTTTAGTGTTTCGGGAAAGGGTTCTATAATTTAGGGTTTAGGGTTTAGGATTTAAGGTTCTAAAGTTTAGGGTTTAGGATTCAGGGTTCCATAATATAGGGTTTAGGGTTTAGGATTTAGGGTTTCTATGATTCTAACTACGAGGTTTGTGCAGGGGTCCTCTTGGGGTTCTGTAAGGTTTCTAGGGGGGGGCGCGGGAGAGGTCTGAGAGTTTCCAGAACAGCTTTAACTGATCTCCGAACGGCCTGATACCGAGCAATGTGCTGGCGGGGCAGCTGTCGCAGTGTTTAGCAATTTTGGGTAAGGGATTAGGACCAGGAGCAGTTTTCGTGCAGTGCCTGAGATAGCGGATTCGCCGTGCTGATCGTTCAGAACCGCTTCTCAGATAAACCTGATTTAGAACAAGCTGCATAGACTCTCTGTGGTCCGCAAAACGGACCCCCAAAGAAAACCCTTGAAACCCAAGTCGAGAGCCCTTCAAAGGCCTTTAGGTTAGGGGTTTGAGGGTGTCGGATTTTGGGGTTCTTGGTTGAGGGCACTAAAGCCTGAACCCTAAACCTACGCCCTAAACCCTACAGAAGCCCAAAACCTTCAAGTCTAAACCCTAAACCCGAAACCCTAAGCGCAAACCCTCTTCCCTAAACTCTATAAACCCTAAGCCCTCAAGTCTAAAACCGAAAAGCCCAAATCCCAAGCTCCCTCAACCCGCAGGAGGCTCCGCTGGGTCCACTGGTGCGTGTGGAGGCAGGGGCCTCCATTCACGGCGGAAGCCGTAAGATGGGGGCCTGAAAGGATCGGTACAGGGTTCCCTTAAAAGGGTAATGTGCGCGCCTTGAAAAAGGGTTCCTTTAGAGGGTAATATAGGGGCCTTAAAAATTGGAATAGGGTCCCTTTCAAGGGATAATGGTGGCCTTACAAAACTGGAATAGGGTGCCTTCAAAGGGTAATATGGGGGCTGAGGGTTTAGTATAGGGGCCTTGATAGTTCGAAAAGGGTTTCGGGAGTTCGGATACTATGCTTGGAGTTGCAAACCCTAGAAACTAATATTGCTAAGTGCTCAGGCTTCTAAACGGTTTAGGGTTTAGGGTTTAGGGCTTCTATAGTACAATAAACCCTAAACCCTAAGCCCTAAACACAGATGACCCCAAACCCCAAGTGCTAAGTCGAAGACCCTTCAACGCTGAACCATAAACCCGAAGCCCTGCGCCCTAGACCCTAAATCCCTAAACCCCTAAACCCGAAACCCTCAACCCTAAACAAAACAAAGACCCTAAACCTCACATCAAACCAAGGCCAAGCTCAAAGTTCAGGTTTGCCACGGTTCGGGGCTCATGTCCCCGCAAAAATTGGGGCTTGAATAATTCGAAGAATGTATGTATAGTTAAGATTATATCTTAGTGTAGTACTACCTATCGTAGCTTGAAGTGGTAATAGTCTTCCTTAACACACTGATAGTCTAGTTCTTCATGACTGAAATGTATAGTATGTAGATGCTAACTGTTCAGGCTCCTGTATTCGGCCAAACCCAAAACCCTAAAACCCTAAACCTTTAAACCATAAACCCTAAACCTTTAAACCCTAAACCCTAAACCTTTAAACCCTAAACCCTAAATGTCTGCTTTGGACGCGGCACTGATGGCGCAGGAATTGCTCAACCGCTGGGAGCAGCACTCTGCACATTGCGTGCACTGCCGTGAGGCGAGGACCGGGGCATGAGCCTGTCATGGCGTTTAGGGTTTAGGGTTTAGGGTTTAGGGTTTAGGGTGTAGGGTTTAGGGTTTAGTTTAGTGCTGATTGGATTACGGGCTTGATTTCTGGGGCTTAGGTAGTTTTGGATTTAGGTTTGAGGAA